GCGCACGAACTCTTCCCTCCAAGCAGGCGAGCGATCGAGAGGGTTGACGGTTGAAACCAGACCAGACCGAGCTGAGCGAGCGGCTCTGGGTATTATCATGTTGAGCATCCGTTTATTTGCCAATGTGTTCCGCCTTGTCTTGTACGCATCAGGCCCGGCCTGCGCTTCGACCACCCTTCTCCGGCCGCCATCGTTCTTGACCTTTCGACCCCCCTGCTCCGCGAGACTCACGGCGCCTCGAGCTTGGCCGAAACGGCGATGCCATTGGCTCGCTGGGCCATGTGGCTCGCGACAGGTTTGTGTCGTCCTTGTCCCGCGCTCCGTGTGCCTGCTATATGTATATTCCAAAGTATGCGCGTGCCTGTATCGTTATCATTACCGCCAGCCGGCCTGCGTCTTGATTGCTACTGCGAACCACCAGGCACCTTGATCGCTGCGAGTTGAAGGTGTCGGTGGGCCTGCGTTGGGGGTTGTCTCACACGGGCGAAACAGCTGCTACCGCGGAGGAAGGCAAACACTGGAGCTCACGAACGGGCTGGCTCTTGGGGAGGGCCCCCAAATAGCTCGCAGATCATTTCACCTAATAAGACTACATTCTCCGCCTGACAGGCTGCCCGCGCTGTTCGGTCGCGGATATCATGGCACCGCCCAGCGCCGCCTAATGCGCTCATGGCGTTTGCGACATGGGCTAGGAGCCGTGGTTAGAAGCTCGCCCTCTGGAACTTGGAGGCATTGGATGGACGGCTAGGTCAGATAAACGGCTCCAGGATTGGGTTGGGGTTGGCGCCAAAACGCTAGCAGACGCCATGCCGGACCTGCAGTTCTGGCGTCGTCGCCGACGGGTGTTCATGTGTATGTATGCGTGGTAACAGTGGCGGTGGTAGAGCGGAACATGTACTTAAGTTGCCAGTGTGCCATCCGGGTAGGCCAGTCATGATGGAGAGGATGGGAATGGGAACAGGGTCGGCCGATGGATGTCTGGGGCTGGTGTAACATAGAAATGACAAGACCAAGTCGGCCGTCGCGAAATTGTGCCATCGCGGTCCTCAATTGTCAAGTCAGAAGAGGGGTGCTAGCCGGCCACGGAAGCACAGGTCAGGACGACATCCAACATCCATCTTCAAGTCACACACACATAACGGGGCATATGGCATATGGGACCTTGTGACTGGCGGGCGATCCGGCACCAGTCGCAAAGCGCAGATGACGGAGCTGATACGGGCCAACCTCCATACGAATGGAATGGCGAGGGGTGAACATGAGGGATGGCTCACGCGAGATGCCCCGACACAGATCGACCATGGCGCTCCGATTTCCTCCTCTTCGTGTGTGCGCAAACATGAATGCTTTCTTGGTTCGGGTAGGGTGGGATGGCGCGCTGCGAAGCGCCGCAGTTATCAATCCGAATCTTGCAGCGCAGGCGGGAGGGAGGGAGGTGGGATAAGTATGTACATATCCCTCGCAGTCTCTGGGTCTTGGCCCCAAGGCACGGCAGTCGAGTCGCAATCGGGTCCGATCTGGCGTCCTTGGCCCCTCGGAGGGTCCGGGTATTGGAGGGCTGGAAGCAGAAACGGCAAGGCATAATGTCAATCAGTTGAACTGCTGTCGCCGCGCCCATCTAGCGGAGTGTGTGAGTGTGTATCCGTACATACGAGATGTTGGCAACTTTTCAGGAAAGAGAGTGAGAAGTACTCCCAGGCGCAATGTATATCGCATCGCATCGCATTGGATTAAAGGTGAGCTGGACTCGATGGGATTGGTTGGGATCATGGATGGCCTGAAGGCCTGCGGGCATGGCCAGGATTGACGAGGTTTCGATGGCTCAGACCGGACAGGGATGGCTGGGCGAATTGGAGGAAGCGAGGAGGAACTGGTCTGGCGGTCCATGGATGGTACCCGTGATAAATAAGGTGAGGAGCAGGAAGGTTTTTTGCGTGTCTTGTTTGCTCGCGGAGACATGACGCTGCGGTCTTACTGGGGCGCCGGAGACCCGTGAAGCATATGGCTTTACCGTTCTGTCACTTCCTTCACTTTAGCCCTGTAGGCCGTCATTCGTTTGTCGGTGGCCAGCCTGCCCCGGTCAGTTGTTGTTCCTTCAGGTCGTCCGTTGCGTTGTTCTGCTGGCTGGGCTGGGCTGGGCTGAGCCGAACCGACACGAGGCATGGAAGCAGGGCAGAGTGCGATTGGTGAAGAGACATGGGGTGTGGTGAGGAGCGAGACAAGAGGGCCAAAGGGCCATATATTCCTTGCACATCATGGGGCGCTTGCTCGTCATCAGTTCGGATACCGGTGCGCACGTATCTGGTCGTTCCGGTGCGCCGTTACATAACCGTCATCAGGAAAGTAACTGGTTAGTAGCTGGTAGTAGGGTAAGGAAGACAGATGGGTAGGTAAAGAGGGAGACGAAACAAAAGTTCGCATGTGTGTGTACATAATGTAGCCGATGTTTTCTATTGCCTGTGTGAGCGTCCATATATGTATGTACCTTACTCGAGGCCAGGCGAAAGTGTACGCAATACATGGACACACAGCTGGACGGACACACAGCTGGACGGACACACGCGCGCACACAAACACACACCCACGGACGTCTGAAATTGTTCCGACAAGTCGACCAGTGGGCATCCTTGAACGGCAGGCTTTGGATGTAGGTATGCTATGCCACGAGCGCAGGGTAGAGAGAGTGTGTCTTGTGTCGAGATAATGTTAAACGAGACATCCAAGATGGAGCAGGACGGTCCTTAACGGGCAAAAGTCAGTCAATTGTCTGGCCCCTGTCCTCCCTAGACCTCGTGGACAGAGATTGAGGCTTCTAGAAGGCTGTAATTACCTTCCGGTGCGGCGAGAGGCCATCATATCCGCAAATAGGCACTCGCGAGATTTGATGGATCAACGCCAGCCCAGGCAAGGCAGGCAGGCAGGCCAGGCCAGATCTTGACTTGTTTGACCGCCTTCGCCTTTCCATAACTCCATTGCCTTTGCTTTGCGCCGTCCAGTCGTCTTTGGCCACCTCAGACCCTGTCCGGTCCAGCAGGTACCTACCTTACATAGTAGTGTCCGCTCTGCTGCGCTGCGCTGCCGTGCTCTGTATGGCCGGTCGACGGCTCCATTGCGACTTGCGCGCTGTTCGTTGTTCGTTGTTCGCTGTCCGCTTTGCCTGCTTGCTTGCTTGCTGCTGGCTGGCTGGTCGATGGGCGATGGTCGCTGACGCTGATGTGCGGCGGCGGTGATGCGAAGCGCCCTAAGTTGCGCAAGCATAGACGACTTCCGCCCCCGTCCGGCGCCCCCTCCTCCGGTCGCCCCTGAGGCCCTGGCAACACCTGATTTCCTCTGCAAAGACGCAGACAGACTGAAAGCATGATACGGAAGCGCAAAATCAAGTCGACAAGAGGCCCAGAGAGCGCCAGCGCAAATGCGCCTGCGGCAATGAGGTATCTGATTCACCAGTGAAGGTCATCTACCTCTGAGGTGGGTGGTACCTCACTTAGGTAGGTAGGGAAGGTAAGGTAGGTAAGGTACCTAAGGTACCTCTGGGCACCTCCCTCAGGGCAGGCGTGAGCTGGCCAGGAGAGCGCCGGGCGTGGACGGGACGGGCGGGTCCAGGTGCCACCCACTCTGCGGTGAAGTGCGGCAGGTACCCTGTTTTTCAAGGGAATTACTGGCCAAGGGCCCTGTATCTGGGGCGAGCTAACGAGCTGCTGTAGGGTCGGCAGGGTCGGTAGGCAGGTTGGGCCCCAGCCAGACTGCCCACCTCACCCTCAGCGCCTCCTGTTCCCGTCGTGCGAGGACAGGACGTGGCAGGTACCTACCTTACCTTACCTACCTACCTCCGTACTGCGTAGGTAAGGTAGGCTGCTACCGCGCCTGCTCCAGGCTGTCCGCCCCTGAAGCGTCGGAACACGCCTCAGCTGCTCCAAAGCTTCAGCGGGCACTATCACCTCACTACAGCGCACCACGCCCTGAAGGCGCCTGAACCGGACGAGAAACATTTGCACACAGTCTGGCGCACTGTCGTCCCCAACCGGTGGCCGGCAGTCTGGAGACCTGGGTCCTCCACAGTGGCTGCAGAAAAGACGTGCACCTTGGGCCGCTGGACTTGCCTTGCGCTCCATGTTAGTGAGCGCAGACCCAGCAAGATTGAACTGAGCTGCAACAGGACTGGACTGGACTGGACTGGTCTGGCTGGTCTGGCTTGGGAAACTGGAACAGCAGCAACTCACCGCAGACAAAATCATATCCTCGCCGGGCTCCTCTTTTTCCCTCTCATGCACACAAACCTGCGAATTGCCCACCGGATTCCCATCATTCAACACCACGGCCTTCGTCGAGAGTGAGTCTTATCCGTCCTTTTGGTCTTTGCGATCAAGGCTTCATGTCCCTGAGCACCCGTCCTCGTCGCATTCCCTTCCTCGTGCTTCTCTCGTTGCTCTATCGGTCCCCTCGCTGCTTCGCTACATCCGCTCCCCGACGCACTCCCCAGTTCAACCTCCTCCTCTACTCCTCTCCTCACCTCACCTCACCTCTCCTTCCTACACACATCTTCTCCTCCTCCTCCCAACCCGCCGACAGGTCATCATAACCGTCCAACCGATCCGTCTCTGCCTTCGTCGGCATTCCATGGCTAATCCCCTCCAGTCCATGATCTAGATTCTTCACGACTCCTCCTCTCCCCCCATCCCCCGACCGTTCGCTCCGGCAGCGTCTTGGTTAGATCGCCCCGTCTGGCGCTGACCACACGACGACACAAAGCGCTCGTTGCAACGCCTCTGATAGATCATTTGGAGCAAGACAGCTCGTTTCCCCTGTCGATCCGACTCGAATTTGGGCTCGTCGGCAGTCGGCCACCATTCTAGTCGACCGCCCACCAGCTCAGCTCAGGACCTCAACCATCCTGTGCCAAGTTCACGACCACCCTCCATTGCACCACCGCATCCTCCATCAACCCCCCTTCATCCGACCATCCTCCATTCAAATCCATCGACTCAATAACATACATCAAAATGACGAGCATGTCACCCACAAGTGCCGTCAACGGCCACTCGGGGCCCAACTCCAACCAGGGCAGCGTTTCGCCCCGGCAGACGGTGTCACCCAAGAACGTCGCATTTGAACTCCTCTTCACAGAGTCACCACAATACCGTGCGCGACTCCCTATGCGAGTTCAAATTTACCCTCACGACACCACTGACTCCATTGTCACCACCGTCAAGAACTTTTACGGTCTGTACTCGGGGCCGACCGGCTCAAAGGGCGTCAGCTTCGAGGATGACCAAGGCATAACTCTCATCGCCAGATACGAGAACTTCCGCGACAACATGGTTGTCTATGTCAGAGTCATTGAGGAACCCCCTTCTTCCACTAGCCCTTTTGTCCCGCCCTCTACTTACCAACATGCTCCTGTCGGCGCTCCGCCACATTATGGGGCGGACGGCTACCCGACACTTCAGCCTCCGCATCGCTTTGGCCATGAAGTCTCCAGACCCTCATCTAGGACCTCTCGGAAGCGCAGTCCGTCGCCCAATGTCGGCCGCGGCCGACGCAGCGGCTCTGCCAATACAACCTCCAAGAAGGGTCGATCTCGCTCCTCCAAGAACAGAGATACTGGCGCCAATGGCCACGCCGACATTTACAGTGACAGTGTCAATGGTTACAGCAGCGGTGACGGAGCCCCTGGTTCTAGCTCTAGCAGGGTCAAGGAGCAGATTGGCAACACCGAAATCAGTGTCGAAAACATTGTAGAGGGTGGCCGACGCAAGCGAGCCAAATTCGAGAGCTCTGTAAGTTCGCCGACCGCTACTTGTGCTTCCTTATCAAGCCGTAATCTCTTCATACTCATCTCCCTCATCACAGGAGCTTCCATTGTTTGCGCCTCCGCAGATGCCGGCGGCCACGTCGAACCCCTCCGTGTCCCCTGCTCGTCGCAGCGAACCTCAGCGAGCTTCTTTCCCCTTCGTGCAGCCGGGCCAGAACCCCTTCACGAATCCCATCCCTCTGCAGTCTCCGCAGAGCCACAATAACGGATACGGTCATGGTGGGTACTATGCGACGCCATCTTCGGAGCGCCATGCTCGTGGCAGCATTGGGTACCCCGGACAGGGCAGTAACTATGGTGGCATGGGTGGAATCCTGCCGACTCCGGACCCCACTGTTGGCAGTTGCATGTCGGAGGAGGACAAGGATGTGGCTATCCAGCTTATGCGTCTGGGTGAAATGTCCAACATTTCACACGGTCGCACTTCCGCTTCTACCCTCGACGATACCTTCAGCGGTCGCGCCGATGCCGCCTCGTCCACTGGAGCCACTAGTGACGGCGACAGCGAGAGCGAGGAAGAGTGCTCGGCTTCCCAGCGCCAGCAGCTGGATGCTGCAGGCATCATGCGCAAGATGTACCAGACCACGGAAAGCCACTTCATCCCTCAGCCGAGCATCGAGACGAGCGGTGATGATGCCGACATGGAGGACGCTCCCGACGTCCCGGCCAACACGGAGCGCAAGCCCGAGGCTTTGAAGAACAAGACCAATCTCCCGGACGCCAGGCCCAAGACCCAACTGCCCGGGTCCAAGCCCAAGCCCAAGGTCAGCAAGGTTCCCCGTCCCACCATTGCCAAGCCCAAGAAAGCTTCCGCCACCGCGAGCAATGGCCCCATGTCACCTGCTTCCCTGCCTCCGTCGCGCAAGCCGTCAATTGCTTCTGCTCCCACCGTCCCCGGTGCTCCTGGCGAAGAGGAGCAGCTGGATCTCTCTGCCAAGCCTCGTTGCCAGCGATGCCGCAAGAGCAAGAAGGGCTGCGACAGACAGCGGCCCTGCGGACGATGCCGCGACGCCGGCCTCAGTGCCGATCAGTGTATCAGCGAGGACGAGGGCAATGGTCGCAAGGGTCGCTATGGCCGACACATGGGTGTCCCCATTAAGAAGGAGGACATCACCAACCCCATGCAACCCATTCTCCTTCCAGCTGCGCCCATCTCCACGACGGCCGCTGTCGCCGACAAGAACAAGAAGAGGAAACGGTAAAGCAACCGTGTCTCGCAAACGATTTTCCACCCTCGGTCACTCGGCGTAGCGCCGGTACCACAGAGGTTCAACACTGTCTCTACCAGGATGAGGATATTGGCCTGCCGGTGTTTGGTAACAGCAATGTTTAACAATGATTGGGGAAGCTTGGACTAGCACGCCACTGAGTGCTATCTACGGCTGCAGTATGAGGTGGAGGGATTCTTGATTTCTTTTCTCTACGGTCTGGTCACATAAGACCACCTGGCAAAGGGCGGGGGATAAAGACTCGGCGGGGGGTTAATCGGGGTTTGCCGGGTGAGGACTGTCAGTCACACTCCTTTTGGCGTTTCGGATCTGTTTTATGGGAAGCGGTGTTTTTTTGCCGTTTACTGTTTCTTTCTGTTTTGTTGCGCGCATCATGTTTTTCTGTCTTGCTCTATTTTCTTCAATGCTGGCGAAGTCGTGGCGACAGAGAGCTACAGTTTTCGGCGAAGTTGTGCAACTGTACGATGTGAAGGGCGACGGAAAGTTGAAAAAGCAAGCGGACGTGTTGGTACACAGGCATGAACACGCGCGCATATCCATGTGCGCCTGCGCCTGCGTCTGTGGTGGTCAAGGGATAAGTCGGGAGAGGGATGTGGGATAGGCCGGAAGGGGGAAGGACAAACAAAAATAAGGCGGTTTTCTGCGACTTGCAGGCGAGAGACTGTTACGGGGCTCGCGCATGGTTCAAATTGTCCGCGGATGAGGATGATGGGAAGAATCGCTCGCCTGCAGTTTCGTGCTACGTTGTTTCCTATATTGGTGAGGAGGTGGGAGCTTGCGCACACCGAGCTTCACCACTCCTATTTCTGTTGAGCTTTTTCCTCTCTGGATTTTCCCGTTGGAAGGAAAGTGTGGGGGAAAGGGAGAGGCGATGCGGCTACGATACGACTGTTTTTCTTAGTGGCAAAGCTTACTACAAAGAAAGGCCAAGTAAACAAAAAAGACATTGATCATCAAAACATGTTCCGGCGTGATGCGACCATCGGTTGAAGTTGGCGACGGCGCAAAACGGAATGCGCTGTCGCACCGTCCCCGGGGCGGAGCGGGGGAGCGTCACAACGGAAGTCGTTGAAAGATGGCTGCGGGGCTAAGCCCAATCCGACACTAGCGCGCGGTTCTCGCCGTTGCATCCCGTTCCGGCTCGGCCAGGGAGGGGAGGGGTAGGAGGTTGGTGGCGGTGGTCCTTTTTTTGTGGCGGGCGCGCAAGACGGCGGTTCCTCTGCACAGTGTGTGGTCCGTGCGCAGCTCGAGCTGGCGCGGGCTGGCACCAGCTCCTTGCGCCCTGACTGGCCCGCTGGGGGAAGGGGGGCTTCGCGTGAAATGTTAAGGCGCCTCGACGAGGTACTTCCGCTGGCGGGGTGCACGGTGGTTCGGCGCATGTGGTTCGGATTATTACGTCATTTGTCGAGAGAACCCCGCACTCATGGATAGCTCCCCGCATTGACCTTGACAGTGTTGAGTGTTTAGGGACTTTCGACCACGATTGCTGAAGAACTGCGATTCTTGTGCGGGATTTCGAGCAGCCCAGAACAGTTACGCTGTGCCGGTGTATGCACACCAAGCAATTGGAGCTGCAACAGATTATGGATGCTTGATTTGCGCAGTTGATTTGCTCCCGAGCCCGCTACTAGCGATGGAGGCGAGCGAGTTACGGATTGGGTTTTGGATTGAGCGGTGAGTTGGGATTTTTCTGCGCTGCGCAATTGGGTGAGTTCGGTGCGTATGGGCTGCGCGTTGTTTTTGTTGTTGTTGTTGTCATGTTTGTTTACTTTTACTCGTTTCGGAGCACAGTACGGTATGCTGGTTGGTCGGCGGGCATGGCCTTGCGCCCTTTTTTTAGTGTTTAGAGTGCTGCGCTCTGCGCTTCTGTTTCACTGGGCTTGATGCGCGAATCCCAACTGCGATTGCGTCCCCCCTCCTCCCCTCTTCCCGCCCCTTGTTTTTTTGCTTGACAGATTGCGCTGGTAGACAGGCGGTGGCGAAACACGAAAAAAAAACGTCAGGTCCCCATTGTTATCCCAACGAGCGGGGGGAAATGGAAGGGAAGGGAAGGGGGAGAGCAGCCGTTTCGCTCATACCTGGAGGATCATTTCACAGTGCGTGGAAGCTTGCTTTGCGAGAGGAGTATTTTGTTTGAGACAGATTGCCAGCGACGGCTCCTCCGGGTTGGACGGCACGATAAGCTGATGCGCTCGTCGCGCGGCACGGCGAGCGCGGAGTCGTGGGATGACGGAGGTGAGCAGGCCATGGGGCTGGCAGAGGCGCAATTGGCCCAGGTGCATGGAGCGAGTCTCATCGTTGTTATTATTATTGTCGTCGGGCCCGTATCGGCTGAGAAGGGACAAGTGGTGTGCGTTGTCTCTGATGCGACGTGATAATAACGCGCGTGTGCGCTTGCGCCGTGCCGCGATGCGATGCGATGCGATGCGATGCGATGCGACAGAGTTGTCTTGCTGTGCGATGGGGAATGTGAATGCGCTTCGCATCCGATTCGGCGCCGACGGTGTTGGATGTTTTGTGGGGCGGGAATCCGTTTGTCCTCCGCTCTCGCTGGTGGTTTCCGTGAGTGTCGGAATCCTGCGCCGTAAAACTACTATGGTTAGATACCTGCTTATGCAAGCAATGACGGTTGTCGGTTTTGTTCTGTTGTAATATCGGAGCTACTATTTTACGGACACTACAAGAGTCGGGCACTTCCTGTGCATCTCGGCGGTGTTCTTCACGATGCATTTAAGCTTGCCCAGCAAAGTTGATGGACAATTTACACCGAGTGTCAATGCAGATAGTCCTAGCCTAGACCAGTTGGTTTTCTAAGATATGAGTGGTTGCTTGACGGTAAGCATGAAATGGCCTACACGACAGCTGCGGAGACGATTCAGCGACTGATAAGGCCCGTCGAGCAGCTCGCAGGACTGACGGTGAGGACGGGAGCAAATAAACCCGCCAGTCCGACATCCAAGGCAGCCTACAGACTACCGGGGAATAGCAGGCCTTTTATTCACCGGTGTGGTTTCACGACCTGGGAAAGTCACCCCGGGATCCTCACGCCGACGATAATGGCGGGCGCTTTCCGTCGGCCACCCGCTATCTTGCCGAGCGCCGGATGGCGCATAGCTTGTCTGCTAATGTAAGGCGCAAAGGCGCAAGGCGTACAAGACGTGCGCCCAGTCGCAGAAGAGGAAAAATGTCGAAGTTTTTTTCGTGGGGTCCGCTTCCGACCGCCGCAGCGGGAATAAGCCCGGGCCCTACTACCGCGTCCGTTTCTCAGTCTCTCCGGTACCTTTCGGTTGACGGGAGGGGCGATCTCGGCCGTCTGTTTTTACTAATACAAAGCTAGACTCCCACCGCTTCCAGCATCTTTGGCCACGACGATTATATAACTTTTCCGATCTTTTTTTTGGACATTGTTGAACCGCTTTCTGGGCCACATATTATTGGGATAAATTCCTTCGATGGACTCCATGAACTTTTCGAAACAGACGTGTAATCATTTCAGCAGCTCCAAGTAATCAGCAGCTTGCTGTCGTTTGACAATGACCGAAACGACAGACATCGTCCGGAGCACCGTTGACGGCCCCGGACCGGCCAGCAACTCGGACAAGTGCCAGAATGGAGCGACAACCACAACTGCGGGCGCGCCTGACGACGTCCGAGAATGGTCCGCCGAGCATGACCTGGTGTACCCGGAAGGAGGATGGACAGCATGGTCCCAGGTCCTAGCTGGCAACATGCTGAACGCGCTGGCATGGGGCTATCCGGCAACGTTCGGCGTCTACCAACTGTACTATACTGAGAAGCTGCACTTGCCGTCAGCCCAAATATCGTGGATTGGCTCGATTCAAATCTTCCTGACGTTTGCCATTTGTACAATCTCTGGCCGCCTGACGGATGCGGGATACGCACGGCAAGCGGTTCTCGTGGGCTGCACTGTTGTCGTCTTTGGCACCTTCATGACGAGTTTGTGCACCACATACTGGCAGATCATGCTCGCCCAGGGAATATGTACCGGTATGGGTTTGGGGGTGTTGTTCATGCCAAGCGTCGCCATCATCGGATCATACTTCAAAGAGAGACGATCTCTCGCGCTGGCCATCTCAGCCACAGGCACTGGCGTCGGCAGCTTGATCTTTCCCTCTACACTACAGTACCTTATCCCCCAGGTCGGATTCCCATGGGCTGTGCGCTGCTCTGCCTTCGTCGCACTCGCTGTTTCCATCATAGCAAACGTTTTGCTGCGTCCCAGACTTCCGCCCCGAAGATCTGGCCCATTTGTCGAGTGGGGAGCGTTTCGAGAAGCGCCCTATATATTGTTCGCGCTGGGTGTCTTCCTCTATTTCATGGCGCTGTACTTTGGTTTCTTTTATGTGAGTCTTCTGAACTGTGTGGCACTTATTCCAGGCGTCAAGCGTTAATCGTTGCGGTAGATCAACACGTACGCCCGAAAAGTCGTGGGCTTCTCAACGACGGAGTCTGTCTCTTTGCTTCTGATCACCAATGGTTTGGGCATCCCTAGTCGGCCAGTAGTTGGATACGTTGCCGACCGCTACCTCGGCCCAATCAACACCTTCATGCTGACGACGTTTATTCTGGGCTGCATGGAATTTGTCTGGATAGGGGTGAAGACGAGGAATGGCATGTATATTTTCAGCGTTTTCTTCGGCCTGTCCAACGGAGCAGCACAGGGCGTCTTCGTAGGCGCTTTGGCAAGCCTGACGGCTGACCCGCAGAAGATGGGGACGCGGTTTGGTATGATTGCGACGTTGTCCGGTTTCGCGTCTTTAGCTGGACCTCCAACGGCCGGTGCCATCATCGACAGATCGGGAGGGCAGTATCTCGGAGCTCAGATCTGGGGCGGAGTGGTGATCATCGCAGGCTCGCTGACAGTAGGAGCGGCGAGGGTAGCCAAGGCGGGGAAAGCTTGGGGTGCCAAGTTGTAATGCCAGTTGAAAGACAGAGGCAGGCGGACTGCAAAT